GTCCAAGATAGAAGTAGGTTACCTTATGTGAAGCTGCCTGTCGATACAAGATATATCTTTTAAAATATAATTTGATAAAATATAATTTAATATAATATAATAAAATATAATTAGTACATTATTAATAATTAAAAAACAATTAAAACAACAAGATTGCTGATGATGGGTCTAAATTCCTAAAACCCAAATAAATTTTAATAAATAATGTTTTTATTTTATTTTTGTAAAAACTCATGGAAATGTTGTATGGCATTAACAAAGGCTTATTTGTTATAAACGTATAGCTTACTTTTTTCTAATTTACCAGAATTTCTCAGAAATAATCATAAAAATGTTGAATTTTTATAAATAAGGTTTTCATATTATTAATAAACCTTCCAAATATAGAAATTATCGTTTTTTTGGAGCAATTGTTATACTTTACACTTTTATAAAAATTAAAAGAGCAAGTTTTTTATGTAAAGATAACCAATAGGTTTAGAATTAATATGGAAATTTCCATTGAAACTTTTGCAGCAATAACTGTGCTGTATCGATCGGTATCAATTCAGGAACTGTGTGGAATCCGTTGTGTCGGAGAAGTGGCGGCGGTGTTGCGATCCGAACTAGACTTGGCATCATGTCAGAACCAAATTAGCACAGAACTCCGGTTAATAGCCGTAGCGAACCGAGGAATCCAAAGAATCTCAAAGCCCGAATAACCTCTTTTCAAATATGTCGACGGCGTGGGAGCAATTAAACGTATCCGACGGCTTTTGACGACTGGTATTTAGCATTAGTCAACGTTTTATTTCAATTCAGCTCTGGACATGTATTATAGGATTTAATCCTGTCCAACGTCCTTGTTATTTTTATAAAAGCTTAAAATCCGTTTATGAGATTGCTTGGACTGAAAGAATGTTGCAGTGAAAATATGGCTTGAAATAAAATAAATAAGGGGTGAGATGTGAGTATTTATTCGATGAGAAAAAAATCTGTTCATTTATGCAACATCCCGGATCTCAGAGCCACATGGGACCTTCAGGTTGATATTTTTTCCGATATCACAATCTCCGTTCAGATTAAAACGAATCACCAATGATAATAGAATTATAGAATAGACAAATCATCTATCAGAGTAAATTGACAATTCGATCAATGTTTTTCTTGTTCGAATATTCCGTCCTTTCAGCCTGGTTAATTTACACTAAATATGGCATTTCATCATCTCCCAAAACACCCGGATAATTTTCCCACTTTGGAGAGTTCTCGGTTAGATCTACATTTGATCATCCTTTCTTAGCTAGTCTGCTCTGTCAAGTGCGACATTTAGTTATCTTAAATTGGTGGAGTTAACTATAATCAGTGTTAGAGGTAACGGGCACTTTTTCATTCACGAACAGTCTGAATGATTTATTTACCTTGACCCACTATATTCCACAGACGGAGACAACCAAAAACACATTTTTCATAAAAAGTAGTCTTTATTTTTTAAAACAATATCGATTTCGGGGTGCTGCCCTCTCCCCATCTTCAGCTGTTATGAATGCCCAGTTTCATGAAAATTCAGACTTATTTCGTGATAAATCATATTTTGAACACATTTTATTACACTAAAAGAAAAACAACACATAAACCTTCCACTGAACACACGGCTCACAGACCGACCAGTGAGAGTAGGTAGACCAGGTTGACCGAAGACCAAACTACATAATTTGAAAAGCATGCATAATTTTGTTGATTTTTATAAATCGATTTTATTTAAAAAGCTTGTTGTTCCTGATTAATTTTGTCCGGATTTTTCAATATTTTATCCGCTATTTTCCCTCGTTCCAGATGATCTAGCCTTTTGTTTCGGCCTGACACGTTCCCTCCCCCCCAAGCCATCCTCACACGGAAACTTCAGTAATATGTTATAGTTTGTTACTTTCCTCCCAAGACCCACTTTTGTGATAATTTATTTTATGGACTTCAACGTGCGACTTGTAAATTCATACATGCCCAATGGCTGACTTTTGGACGTGACTTTAAGATGCGCCGAGGCGGTCAGACGACAGTATTTTTAACGAAATGGAAATCCACTCGACTTATACGCCATTTAACAGTAACCATTACGTTGACAATAAACTAACGATTAGTGCTAGCACGGTAACATGAAAAAATGATGAAAAAGGCAACTACGGGGGTATCTATGGTTGATGGCATTTAAATATCACGACCTTGACTCCTCTGAATGCTGGCTTTTAATAAAGTGGTAATTGCAGAAGACTTAAAAGCACTATTGTTATTAAAGATAAATTGTTTTTTCAAGCCAGAAATTTGTATTATTTTAATTACTGGTAATAATAACAAAACTAGCATCAAGTTGTTTTCAATTGTTTAATCAAATCATTTGTAACAAAAAATATGTCGGAAGAAATTAATATTTTCTGGTGTTTGGAATATAGTAATATCTTAAGAAGTAATATACCTTTCCTTTCCCTAATTATCCTCGTCTATATAATCTGGCCGAACTATTACCCATCGTCGGCTCCTTTCACCTCAAAGAAGCCTACGCCTTATACAAAAATGTCTTTCTATACCGACTTCTTCCCCACCCCATCAAAATCCAACGTATATAAACATAAAACAACAATATCTCACTGGCACTCTCAACACGACACGCAAGAATGGCACAATCACAAACACTTAGAGTGAGTAGAAATACTTTGATTGAATATAAAAAATACGTTTTGCACTGAATAAATTCACTTTTTTCCACATCCTACATATATTTGTTAAATTTAAACATTTAACATGTTAAATTACCATTAAAATCAAAACTTTCGACATACACATATCTACTCAAACTAATTGGATGTACGGGTGCCAAGTATATGGATCGGCGAAGTATTCCAATATTCAAAGATTACAAAGTATTCAATCCAAAATTTTAAGACTAATTGTTTCTGCCCCTTTTTATGTAAACAATAATACACTTCACAGAGATCTTCAAATCCCAACAGTTTTTTCATCCATCAAAACATATTACAGACGTTTTCATAGTAAATTACAAAATCACACCAACACACAAATACGATTACTCCATTCTCCACAATTACCACGTAAACGTCTGAAAAGAGTATGGATAAGAGACCTCTTAAATGATTAATATCATTTCATTAATCCTGAGCGGCTGCCAATGGGTAGCTTTCTCTATAACGCCCATAATGCCAAACACATAATCTGCTGGTTGTATATAATACATGTACAATTGTAGATACAAATAAATGAAGTAAAAAAAAATTTAAACAATGTTTGTAAATCCCAGGCCCTGAAGATGATCTCAATAAAGATCGAAACGTTGGCACGATAAAGAAAATTTTTTTCTAAAACCTACGTCACACCAGACCGCATCTCACGATCTCAGAATAATTACGATTATAATGTTGATCATTTAAGGTTTAACAGAGAGGTTTCTTTTTCAGTGGGATGATTAACCCGAAGTTTGGCCGTTTCTGACCATCCTGGCCCGCCTATCTTTGCTTAGTTTAGCCTAGAATTCACGTTTTAACATTTAGTCATATTCAGTAGTTAATATTTAGCCAGGGTTATAAGCAGGACGAAGCGCCAACCCTAACCACTAGTAACCACGAATGGCTAGAATAAAGTTCATCACCAATCATCAGCAACATGTCTTTTTAAGGTCTGTGAAATGATGAAATTGTAGTTTGTTCATTTCGCTGCTTTCGTTTAACAGAAGGCGTTTTACCTTTCGCTACCTTCAGAGGTGGGTAATTCAGTATGGTTGAATAAAACAGTTTGTGTCGCCATGACAACTACGTCGATGAGGTTTCTTGAGCGAATTTATAATTGGTGGTTTTTGTTGTCTAGCCTTTCCTACTTATATACCTAACCAACCAATGAAAATAGGTGAACGTCAAAACACATTTACCTGACGAAACCAAGCGAGGATAGACAAACCACGATTAGCAGAAACGACCACACTACAAATTAGTTTATAGTTTGACAAAATCTAATTGTTACTAACATATGAATTGAAAATTGGTGGGTTTAGACTAGTAAAACGCGTTTACCAAATTAAACCAAGCGAAGGCAACCTACGATGATCGGAAACGGCCAATCTATAAATTATTTTAAAGTTTAATAAGAATCTAGTAGTTGCTAATCTATGAATGTTCGAAGTGTTGGTGTATTCACCCTATTAAAAAAATAAATTCTACGAGTTTCCAAACTTTCTTTATAAAAATGTTGTTAGACTGTTTGTTAAAGAAATTATTCCTATTCCACTACAAGTATAGGTAATTCTTTTTGTTTAATTTTCCTTTTCTTATTTGGTGTCTAAGTCTACCCTGGTTGGAATAAGATTTATTTTGCAGCGTTAGAACAGGAGCTTTCGTATTAGTTCTTTTCTTATGGATTTACCGTGTTGCCAATAGGAAAAAAAGACGATGGAAGATTTGTGGTGTTATTCCGACCACTCCATTTTACACAATCTACCCTAAGGTTGCATTCTATCTCAAAGAAAAAGAAGGAAAAAATAGAAGATGAAAAACGTTTCACCTGATGGACATCGCAATCCTACATATTCCGCAAACTAAAATTTTGTTTCTCTGTGGTGATGTTTGACTTCCCAGGTAATGAGGATAAAATCTTCGAATTTCAAGTTCACTTAGTTGTACAATATCACTGTATGCTGAACGAAATTATGGTGCTGATTTTTAAATCAGCTGGTCTTTAGAAGGTTTTATAGAACAACTATGTGAAGTCAGGTGAAAATTTAATATTATGAGGGTTTGAAAATGTATACTATGGTTTTTTGTAAAGTACACGGGGTATAAAAGAAATATATTCTAATTCCGTTAATCTCGGATAAGACATTTTAGCGTTTATCACTTAGTTAAATAGGGTACCGTTTGAAATGTATCTTTCCTTGGAAAAATATCTTTTCTCAAATCCACACTGTTTTCTTATATTTAACGACAGAATAATTTGTTGAGGCGTAATTAGAAGAAACTCACCTCCATCGGCGTAGGTTTCGGAGCCGTAGCCGTCCTGAAGACCGTTCGCCCATGTCCCTTCGTACTTGGCATTACTTGTCGAAGATTGTCTGACGCCGTAACGGCCTTTAAAACCCTGGGTCCATTCTCCTCTGTACATCCATCGACCCCTCGACTCAACGCCCAAACCGTGCCTTTTACCGTTTTGCCACTGGCCCTCGTACGCACTCCCACTGAAACAAAAAACAACATTGGTTACAACGAAGTAAAACTGTCCTATGCTTTCTTCTTTCCTGTTTATTTAGTGGTTTTTCCTTTTTATTTTCTGGAAGTGGCGTGAACCTGTTTTCCTTTCTATTCTTTTTATTTGTCCGCAAAGGTTCCAAAATGCATTGCGGACAAATAAAAAGAATAGAAAGGAAAAGAGGTTGTTGAGTTCATCATTATCCTCTTCACTCCCAGAAAATAAAAATATCTTTCTAAGCAGTGAACACTGTTTGCTTTTTAAAGGTTGTTACAGCTTAGAGTAATGTTATAATGGAATAAAATCATAATTTTTAATAGTCAAAACAGATTTTATAGCAGATTATCGTCAACTTTCGCCTACTTTCGCCCTTGCGATTTGTTAACAGTAGCGATGGCCATTTAAGGATAAAACATAAAATATCATAAACGTGTGGTGAGAGAAGGAGGGAAAATATAGATTTATAGATGGATAGACAGTTAGTGAGGGAAGGATAGATATTTAGATAGATAGAGAGATAGAAGATATATAAAAAATGAGAAAGGGAGGGGGAGAGAGAGAGAGAACGAGAAAGAGAGACAGAAATAGGGAGAGANTATATATAGTGTGATGTGTGTGTGTGTGAGTTATTGTCCACGAAATACATTTTTAAAAGTTATTACTCAATATTATTGTTCAACATAATAACATTGACGTAATACAAAATCTGAAGTATATTAGAGTAGTTGAGTGCAAACTAACTCTGAGAAAGCCAAATTAACTCAATAAGATATTCAACGTTCAAATTTCTACAAACTTGACAAACTGTCTAACTAAATCACTGCCCAAAGATGTTGCCTTAACCAGACTTTCTTCGTGATTGGACCACACCATCAGAGACCCGTTTGGATCAAAGGACAAGGCAAAATACTTAAAAACTGGAAAACGCTCAAAGAAGAATGTGAGATGAAAAAAAGATTCAGCAAACAGGAAGAAACTTAGAAATGATAACTGGTTTGATGACAAATCCGTATAAGCTCGAGGGTTGTTTATCTTAAACGAACAAGGCACCCGCTAATTCTGCAAAGATGCGGGAGAAACTCTGACAGATTTACTGCTGCAGTTAAAACATTTTAGAACCAACCACACAGCCATGGAAATATTTAAAAGATGTCTGTGGAGGTGCTCAGATACAAGAGATCTTGATAGGCACGTACGACTTTTTCCTGGGTCGAACCACAACCATCTTTCAAGCCGAACAAACGTGTGCACATAAAATAAACAACTCAAAGGTGCAAAGATAATAGTTTGTTTAAAAGCCTAACGATCACCTCAAAACTTGTCTAGAACGGCAATACCTTACAAATAGCTTAATACTGAAGTGGGCCCCCAGGTCATGAAGGAAATACAGGCAAGGAGGCAGCAGACACACTAATTAAAAAAAAGCCTTGGAACGACTCATAAGGCGAAATCCATTTTGTGGCATTAACTATGTCCATATTAAAACAGAACTGGAATCTTAGGGAAACAAATATTGGAAGTAGAAACCAGGCGTGAGACTACATACATGGTACTACTAAGCAACAAGACTACTCCAAAAACAACTCAACGGGAGAAAAAGGAAATCCTATCTAACAGGAAGGAATTAAATAGTTAACTGGTATATTTACAGGACATGCTCAAGTAAACTACCACCTTAAAAAATGGACTGACAACAGATGATATCGATTATGTCTAGAAGAGACGACCGAACATATCCTATCTGTCCACAATTGTTAGGTAAAGGCTATGTTATCTGAGAAAACAGGTCTTGAGGCCTGCAGATCTTTTGATACCATACCCTGAGAAGAATTGTCCACTTCATAAAAGAAATAAAAATCTTTCAGAAATTCTATTAGAAGAGATCGACACAATAGACGAAACTTTATGTGCTAAGGGGAGAAATCCCTACGACTCCAAATAGGGAGAAAAAAGACCGTTTGTATACCATATGGATAACGATGTTCAAAGTTCAGACTTTTTGATAATCAAAGTTCACACAATGGTATGTCTCTTTTTTATTTATTATTATTTTTATTGCTCAGACGTTTTTATTTCAATCGTAACTGTCCCTGCGATGATAAAGCCATTTGAAAATTTTATGAAACATGGAAATTTAGCAACTCAGGATAAATTGGTTAGTTAGGTTTAATAATGAAAGCAATTACTTTTGCGTTATTTAATCAAGGACGGTTTCGAGTTTGTAATTTTTGAAGAATTAATTTCAATTGGGGTTTTTAATATCACGGTCTGACGAGCCTCGGAAAAACGCACGTTTGGACCAAACATTCATTCTGTAAAATTTAAAATGTAAAGTACAGTATTGATAGTTGAAATCCTGTTTTGACAGACGGAGACTTACTTTTAGGCCACAGCATACGTATGTGCCCTGTATGCAGATTAATGTTGCTCCAAATAGGGCGCGAATAAATATGCCATTTGATTTCTGGTGAAACTGGTGAAATTCTTTATATATAGATCTTTTATTTACTGCAGGTAATCTTGTTGTACACACACTAAATTTGGTGGTAGATGTTTTAATTGTTTTGTGAGAATGTATTTATAAGCGTGAATGTGTTTAGTACAACAGCGTTGATAGCGAAACGTGCAATTGTTTATGAGTATAAAGGATAATTGAGGAATATCGAATCGAAATAAATAATATAATGAAATATGCGTGAATGTGTGTGTGTGTGTATTTGCTACAAGAGTTTCGAAGGCATAATATCAACTACCCCCTTGTCCCTCAATCAGTCTAGGTGTTGTAAGTATAGGTGTCTATATGCTTGATAAAGGGTAATGGAGGAATATCTAGTACATCATCAGGTACTTGAGTGAAATGTATGTAAATAAGAGGGACATTATTTTTAGAATGAATGATCGAGTGAGTGCGTTTAGGTTATAATTGCACGCATTAGGAGCTAAATGACCGCGCTGTAGATACGGTACGAATTATCCACCCCTAAGGGCGATTTCGGTCACCAAAAACCGAAGAGGGTGATTCTCGTGGTATGCCACGAGAAGTTATAGGCTAGGTTCTGCACATGTACATACATACACAAGTGCATGTGCAGGCAGAATTGAGCCGATAAAAATAGAAAAAAAATCGCTTCCTGTTTTTTCATAATAATTAGTCGACCCCGTTGAAAAAAATGCGGCAAAAACATGCATTTTTGTCCTCTTGCTTGTTGGAACAAACGTTCCTTCTGAAAGCTACTTAAACTTATAACTGTATAAATTATGCTCTACAATGTAACGACTGAGAATTCGTTTTTTTTACATTTTTACTGATTCTAGAAGCCATTAGAAACGATAAACGCAATAAATCGCTGACAACGCCGAACTTTCATTAGGTTTTCAGTTTGTGTTTTCTTTTCTGTAAATTTTTTATTCTATATATATTTTTGTACATTTATTTCAATAATACGCAACTTCATTATTAATTTTAAAACTTTACTTGTATATATTCTAGTTCACGCTTTTATTTATGTTATGTATTCACTTATGTTTGAAAAATTTACTGACCATAACTCGAAATTTACCCTATAAAAAAGTTTTACCTTATCAAGATACTACAACGTACTTTTTTGAAATTCTAGGAAATTATCAGGAATGAAATCTTAGAAATTAGTCGGCATCAGTTTCTAGATTCAAAATTATGAGCAGAAAATTCAATCAAGTATGACTTACCGCTAGGATACTTCATTGACGGTAGTCAATTGAAACCAACCGTTTAATAGAATTTTTTTTCATTTTTATTGATTTTTACACCTTTAAAATAATTATAAAGTAAAACTGCAAGAACAAAAAAATTAACATGAGAAACACATGAGGAGATCCTGTAGAAGAAATAAATAATGACTTCACTTTTTCAATTTTTTTTTGTCACAACGTAGGATATCTAGTTTTCATCGGCATTTCAATCGACTGTAAGGATTATCGGGGATGTTATAGGAACTGAACTGATGGACCAAGCATTGGGATGTGTGGAAAGGGTTTGATGGAATTTTATAATAGGCTTTTGCTCCTTCTGGAACAAAGGCATACTAAGGTCTCGGTGAAGGATGAGGTTTGATAAATAAAAAGAAGAGTTAACAATTTTTCTTAGGAATTTTGATTGGAATCTTTGACGCACTGAGATTGGATTGCTTGTTTGACCCCCAGAGTTCGGTGCGGTAAGCTCACAAAAGTTTGAGAACAATGAAGTATATCAATGTTTTGTAGTTAAGTGGAAGCGTGGATCGTCTGGTGATTAGTGGTGTGATAACAGTTTTTAACGTCTGTTTAGTTCGGTCGTATTAGTCTTGTATGCAGATTCCAAAAAGTAGTTTGTTCAGGTGAAGTCCCAAGTACGGAAGGTGTTCGACAGGGGGTAGCGAAATCCGGTTAAAGTTAACAAGTGCTAGTGTTATTATTGTACTATAATTGTATTTTAGACAAGGTAAGAAGAAAATGTTGGGATAAAAATTAATAAGGAGAATAATTATTTTACGTGTTCCACTTTCATAACATTTTGTCAAATATTTACATATTATTTTGATACGGAAAGGAATTGAAATCAACATTCCTACTGTAAATTCTGTGATCAAGAGGCGACTTGATTAAACGCTTTGTTAAATTAAAAGCGATAACGATTTTTACTGAACGTCTGATGGAGAGCGATTTCTTCAAAGTGACTTTTCTAATTAAAATTAATTGTGTTATTAATTAATAACGTTAGGGTTTAGGGTGGACCACGATCCTTCGATACAGTTGGCATCAGACGGCAGGATGGGGTCATGTAGCCTAGTTGGCTGGTGGACATTCCTTCATTATTCCTAGAGCTCGGTTCTATTTCGGTCAAGTCGACAACAACAGCCATTGTAAGCCGAGGCCTATTTTATATCGATATAACAATTTAGAAAGGTATCGACTGAAATCGGCCTGTAGACGAGCGAATTCCGTTGGAAATTGTACGGAAGGATATATTGG